ATTATAATATCTAGACTGTTTCCGACTATCGTACTATAATATCTAGAAGTTTCTACCATCGTATTATAATATCTAGACTGTTTCTGACCATCGTACTATAATATCTATACTGTTTCTGACCATAATATTATAATATCTAGACTGCGTCTGACCATCGTATTATAATATCTATACAGTTTCTGACCATCGTATTATAATATCTAGACTGTTTCTGACCATCGTATTATAATATATATACTGTTTCTGACCATCGTATTATAATATCCAGACTGTTTCTAACCATGGAATTATAATATGTGGAATGTTTTTTACTATCGTATTATAATATCTAGACTGTTTCTGACCATCGTATTATGATACCCTAGACTGTTTCTGACCATCGTATTATAATATCTAGACTGTTTCTGACCATCGTATTATAATATCTAGACTGTTTCTGACCATCGTATTATAATATATATACTGTTTCTGACCATCGTATTATAATATCCAGACTGTTTCTAACCATGGCATTATAATATGTAGACTGTTTCTGACCATCGTATTATAATATCTAGACTGTTTCTAACCATCGTATTTTAATATCAAGACAGTTTCTGACCATCGTATTACATCTAGACTGCTCTGACCATCGTATTATCATATCTAGACTGCATCTAACCATTGTATTATGATATCCTAGACTGTTTCTGACCATCGTATTATAATATCTAGAATGTTTCTAACCATCGTACTATAATATCCTAGACTGTTTTTAACCATCGTATTATAATATCTATACTGTATCTGACCATTGTATTATGATATCCTAGACTGTTTCTGACCATCCTATTATAATATCTAGACGGTTTCTAATCCTCGTATTATAAGTATCTAGACTGTTTCTGACCATCGTGTTATAATATCTAGAATATTTCTAACCATCGTATTATAATATCTAGACTGTTTCTGACCACCGTATTATAATATCAAGACTGTTTCCGACCATCGTATTATAATATCTAGAATATTTCTGACCATCGTATTATAATATCTAGACTGTTTCTGACCATCGTATTATAATATCTAGACTGCGTCTGACCATCGTATTATAATATCT